TATGTGCGAGGGGAACCTTTACCTTTATGCAAATTGATTAAATAAATAAATAATAACTAGGACTCATGCCACAAAGGGCTTCGAACATGATATAACCAGCATCTTGGCTTGCACCCAGAAGCCAGCTGACAATCAATAGAGCTCCAAAGCCATGGAGTCATGCATGCATCAAAATGCAGCATCCCCGTCACCACCTATGTGGCTGCATTCTGGACCAATTGTAGCTTCCAGACAGTCTTCAAGGGCAGCCTCATTTAGACGCATTACAGTAATTCAGTGGTTAGGTGATTAGAGTGACTGTCTGATAAGCTTCCCAATTCAGGAAAGGGTACAACTGGCACAAGAGGACCCCCAGTTTATTCACAAACCTTGAATGTGAAGTGCAATCCAATGGAGAGTCAATACTGGAATATTTCTAATTCTGGAAGACCTAGGCCCAGCCATTTTAACTATGCCTGAGTCTGTTCCTCCCAGAACCAACAACAGAAAAAAAACCACAATAATGATAATAATATAACACAATGGCACCCAAACCCACTCTAACTCAAACTGTACAAAATCACATGTCAAGACAACATCCGGGTCTTGAAATGTTTACAAAATGCTAGCAAGGTCAAGGCCAAATGAATCTCAGGGTAGGGTGTTCCAGAGGGTAGGCACTGTAAGAGAAAAGGCACACTGCTGGAGAGCACTGGATAAGAATCTGAAGCATGCCCACACTGTTAGATTTAGGCAGGGAGACAGAACCAACTGGAGAAAGCTGGTTCCACAAATAACCCAGCCCCATGCCATGAAAGTTTAATAGGTGGCAACCAGCTCATTGAATTGCATCTGGAAATCAATGAAACAGTGGGAGAAGAGATCTCTAAGTGGGTTTGGGACAGACCTCTCACCTCCTAATAATCCTGCAATTAGCCCTAGAATAAGGAGAAGAACCACTGTAGCATCATGGCCCCCCACTCCCAATCTCTGAGTCTGTCTAGAAGGCTATCATGATTGATGGTGTACTGAAAGCTGCTGAGAGATGTAGGAGGACCATTCCTAGCCTGCTCTTGCCAGAGGTCATCCACAACCACGGTCAATGCTGTCACAGTCTCGTACATAGGCCTGATGCAGGACAAAAATGAGTCCAGATAACCTACTTCCTTCAAGGCTCTTTGCAACTGCAGGGTGACCACCTTCTGAACATCGTCTTGTCCAACCAGGGCTTCTTGAGAAGACGGTGGACCACTGCCTCCATAAGCATTAATGAGATCATCCTCTCTCACAGAGATGGAATTCACCACCACCTGGATTCAACCACAGATCCTGTGAGAAACCTTAGCTATACAGATAGCTGAGTTCAACCCTGTCCACTCAGGACTAACACAATCTAACTCATCCCAAAAAAAACACAACCAGATGTTCCTTTGTTAAATCCACAAGATGACACGCCATCACAATAGAGTTTGGCATGAATATGAGTGATTTGTTTTCCAACAGTGCCTAGAATATCCCACACAATACATTGCACATTGTTTGATTATAGCACATATGATGTGCTACTCATAAAAAAACTTCACTGTGGAATGGATGGCATAGCAATTAAGCAAATGCAGAGCTGTCTTGAAAATGATACCCAAGGATTGAACTTCAATGGCTTCTCATCAAATTGAGCCAAGACAACATGTAGTGTAGGCTACCACAAGAATTAGGTCTTCTGGGCCCCTCACATTTCCATATTTGTTTCTAAACAATATACAGTGGATAAAGAGGTAGAAGTGATACCCCATCAGATTTGAGGTTGACACAAATACTTTAGGACACGAAAATAAACTGCAAAGTGATCTCGGTGGATTAGAAAAATGGGCTGAAGATTAAAAGATGAAATTTAATATAGACAAATGCAGAATTCTTAGGTGGAGAACAAAATATCAAATGCATAGGTAAAGTATGACCTGGCAAAATTATTTGTAAAAACATCTTGGAAATTGACTTGAAACTGGGTCTGAGCCAGGAGACAGATATGGCTGCAAAAAAGACATTATAATGAAATTGTAGAGTGTATCATCAGAAGTATAATTTCCAAACCCCAAGACATAAGTATTCTGCTTTGATGAGACACCTGCCCTTCCCCCCTTGCATATTGCAGCAAGTTCTGAGCGATGTATTTTTAAAAGATTCAGAAAAAATGGAGCAGGTGCTAAGAAGAGCAACGGGATGATCAGGAAAGTTAAATCCTATGGATCATTGAATGTGTTCAGAAGCAAGACAGCCATCTAGTTTGGCTGCTCTGATTGGGACCCCTGCATTGAGCAGTGTTGGAATCAATGGTCCCTCTCAACTCCATGTCTCCATGAAGCAAAGAAACATGAACAGAGAGCACTTTGAACATGTACAATGAGTGGTAACTGTTGTTCAAACTATGAACACTTTCCCACTGACAGTTTAACAACAGACAGACAGAGATAATAAATGATAGATAGATAGATAGATAGATAGATAGATAGATAGATAGATAGATAGATAGATAGATAGATAGGATAAAGAGACAGAGAGAGAGGAAGATGATAGGATGATAATAAGAGAGAGAGAGGAGAGGAGGGGCGTGGGAGGGAGAGGGAGGGAGGGAGGGAGGGAGGGAGGGAGGGAGAGAGAGAGAGAGAGAGAGAGAGAGAGATGTGGATCACCAGCAGCTCAGAGCTGCTTTTGAACTGGTGCAGACTTTGTGAATAAAATGCCCTCAAACTGGTCCTGTTTGTAGTGACTGCCAATAGATACCTCCAACTGCAAGCCACTCATCCTCCACATAATGCTTTTTACATGCCTTGAGACTCCCATTCTCTAAATTGAATTGAGTATTATGGGAATGGTAGTCCCAGCCTAACATGCCAAGCAGGAGAAAGGAAAGGAGAGAGTTCCATCTGCACCAATCAGAATATGATTAGAAAGACCCAAATCATTTTAACCTTTCCACACACAGAAGGTCCTTTTAAGACCTTGATAATTTTGCACGGCAATCACAGAGATCTCTGTTCAAAGGTAACCCCAGTGAGTTCAGCAGTATTTTGAAAAGGCAGACCTTAATTGTTTTTCATACTTTCAGTGTAAGAATGCTGCTTCTGGGATGGAACAACCAGAAACCTCTGTACCCCATAATCCAACTCCCTTATCTTTATTTTCTTCTAAAGAAGAAAAGCGTTTCCAAAACCCTGAACTGCTGCTAATTCTCCACTGCCATTCATTCACTGGTCCCTTGTCCACTTGTTCCCAATCCCTTACGTTATCCTGGGAGGCATCATAAGCCAGTCATCTTTTTTGGCAATGGTGATATTTTTTGGCAATGGGAATTCTAATACAGGTAAGTCCTCAACACACAACAGTTCATTTAATGACCGTTCGAAATTACCACGACACTGAAAAAAGCCACTTATGAGCATTTTGCACACTTACAACCATTGCAGTATTCCCTAGCCTAGGGGTCAGCAACCTGCAGCTCTGGAGCCGGATGTGGCTCTTTCACTCCTCTGCTGCAGCTCCGTTATTCAAAATATGTGTCACAACTGCTAATATGCGACACTTGCCGGCATGCAATTTATTGAGCTTTTCAAACCCCGGTAGGCCAACCATGGATAAATCGAAGAAAAGAAAAGTTTCAGAAGAAAACAGAATGTTTAATGCAACTACATATGTTGGCCGCTCAAGAAATAGTTAGGCATGGGAAAGTTTTTTGTGGCTCCCGGTGTTTTCTTTTCTGTGGGAAACAGGTCCAAATGGCTCTTCAACTATTTAAGGTTGCAGATTTCTGCCCTAATCACACGATCGAAATGTGGATGCTTGGCAACTGTTTATTTATTTATTTATTTATTTATTTATTTATTTATTTATTTTATTTGATTTATATGCCGCCCTTCTCCGGAGACTCAGGGCGGCTTACAATGTGCTTAACAATAGCCTTCATCCTTTTGTATATTTATACAAAATCAGCTTATTGCCCCCACAAACTGGGTCCTCAATTTACCTACCTTAGAAAGGATGGAAGGCTGAGTCAACCTTGAGCCTGGTGAGATTCGAACCTGCAGTAATTGCAGGCAGCTGGTTTTAATAACAGGGTGCTTTAGACCACTGTACTACCAAGGCAAAATTTATTTATTTATTTATTTGAATTTATATACCGCCCTTCTCCCGAAGGACTCAGGGTGGTGTACAGCCAGAATAAGAACACACAAATAGAAAATTTAATAACAATTTAAAATCTATATTAAACCTTATGGCCCGTAACTAATTAAAAACCCATTTTTTGAACCTCAAGAATTAAAAATTAAAGATTAAAAGATTAAAAGATAAAAAGAATTAGAATTAGGCCAGCCTGGCTTGTTGGAACAAAAGGGTCTTGAGGGCACGGCGGAAGGTGCATAGGTCCGGGATCCTCCGAATCTCCGGGGGCAATTCATTCCAGAGAGCAGGTGCCCCCACAGAGAAGGCTCTCCCCCTGGGGGGTCGCCAGTCGAGTGTTTATGAGGGAACCTTGCAGTGTCTTGGGGGAGGGGGTGTCACGTGATCCCTTTTTGCGACCTTCTGACAAGCCAAGTCAATGGGGAAAGCCCGATTCCCTTAACAACCGCGCGGCTCACTTAACAAGCGCAGCGATTCGCTTAACGACGGTGGCAAGACTCGCTTCGCCAACCTCTCGTTTTAAGACGAAGAAACCGTGGGCTCCGTTGTGGTCGTAAGTCGAGGACTACCCGTAGGTGATGCTTAAATCTTAGAAAGGCGTGTGTGTGTGTGTGTGTTTCCCCACACCGTCGTGTGGAATTTTACAACGTGTTCCCCCCCCCCCCCCCCATTGGGAGCCAGGCTGTCTCTGGCTTGCACGCGAGGGCGCTTCGCCTTTAAGGGGTTGGCGTTCCGCTTCGCTTGAGAAGCAGTTCCAAGTTCCCCAGGCTCAGGGCGTGTCTGTCCCCAGAGTGACACCAGTGCGGGGGGGGGGGCGCAAGCGGTGGTGGGGGGGGAGACCGGCAAGAAGCCTGCCCACTGCAGAACCGAGCCTGTCCCTCCTTTGGAATCGCCCAGGGTCGACGGGGGATACGGCCGATCCCGGGCTGGCATAGCCCCGTTTCTCCCCCTCCCACCCTCCGTCTGCATCTCGCCTCCTATTCCGCCCTGGCTCTGGCTGGGCTCTGCTTGTTTGTGTGCGCCGCGCTGCGCCGCGCCACGGCCGGGGAGGATGCGCCTTGTTCCAGCGGCGGCGGTGGTGGCGGCAGCTGCTGCTGCTGCTGCTGCTCGTGTCCGGGGAGCGCGGTGATTAGCCAGATGGGGACCGGCCTGCCCGGCTGACGGAGCGGGGGAGGAGCAGGCGCTTTTGTTGCCGCTGCAGCCGCTGGATCGCCCGTTGCAAAAGGAGAGGCGAGGCGAGGCGCCCCGGAGAGGTAAGGGCAAGGCTCGGAGAGGGTCCGTCGCCAAAAGGGGAAAGGGGGAGAAATCGGGGTTCTGGAGGAGAGAAAGGGATGCGGGCCCGGGCGAGTGGAGCGAAAGGGCCGCCCGGAGCTGTCACCGGTGGGGGAAGGGAGGGCCGGGAGGATGGATGGAGAGTTGATGATGGCGAAGGAGAGACGTCCAGTCCTGATGAGGAGAAGGCAAAGGAGGCTTTGCTCCCTTTTACTCACTACCCCGATCCTAGTTCATGTTTAGGGTACCTTGGAAGTGGGGGGGGGTCATCCCTCCACCATGTCCCCCAAAGGATGTTCCAGTTTGTCGTCCGTCCCCCCCTTCCCCCCGCCATCCCCATCCCCTTCCTATCAAGGTGAGAGTTTGGTGAAGAAAAACACGGTGGTGGTCTTTTGCTTTAGAAGTGATTTGACAGATGGGGCACGGTGGTGGGGAGCGGGAGTGTGGGGGAGGTGAGAAAGATGCTAACCGCTCTCCGGCTTGCAGGGCTGCAGCTAAATAGGTGAACTATAAATGGAAGAGCCATGGATGGCTTGTGATGGACTTGTGCCAGCCTTAGTGCTGCCTTGGAATGGTTCTCTCCCTCAGCACCCTCCCCCCTTCTCCTCCCCCCACCCCCCTTTGCTTAGAGACAGAGCGGCTGCTGCGGGGAAAGAAGGATGCAGCTTTCAAGGCCAAGATAGCTGGCTGGCTGCCTCCCATCCTGGCTGTTTGTTTGTGCCTGCAGAGTGGTCCTCCTCGGCCACTTGGGTCTTCTGGAGGGGGCTGGTTGGAAATTTAAAAAAAAAAAAGGAAACTGGACCGATATGGTAGTGAAGGAGGGAGAGGCAGATGGATAGAGATCCCTAGGGCTCAGAGCCGGGAGGGGAGGGAGAGGAAAGTGGGCACAGGCTGGATGGTCGGGGAAGAGGGACGCGTTTGTGATCTCCAACACCACATGCTAGAAATGCTTAGAAGGCCTCCTTGTTTAGTTTGAAATAACCACTAGCTGAGAGTTATTGCACATAAAACAGCAGGCCTCCTGAAACCAGCAGCTGCAGATATGGAAACCTAGTCCCAAAGAGAAGATGCTGGGCATTTCACTTTGATTACTTAAGAGCAAGAAAAGATGCCATGTGTTTGCTTTGTAATACACTCCCTCAAGCCCTTCTTGATTGGTGATGATGGTTCAGATCCGGTACCTGGAAAGTGGATTTTAAAGACCGAGGCCACAGCATGTTCTGAGTTTTGTAACTCTATGTGAGATTCATTGACACCAATTGAATTCCCCTCTTGGCCATAAAATGGTGGCAGGGAGGGGGCCAAAGTCCTCTTCTCATCATTTTTTAAAAAATCATCCTGTTTAGGGGAATCCCTTCATATGAAATGAATGTAAAAATGCATTCTTACTGATTTAGAGGGAATAGCCTCAGTCTTTATCATCCTCCGGCCCCATGGAAAAATAAATGTTAGGGATATGGAAAGGCAGTGTCTCTCAGCGAAGCAAGAAAACAAGATTTATGCTCTCTGATTGGAATAACCTCAGTGTAAACCTTTGTTCACTTTTCCTTATTAATCCCCTTTCTTTTCTGGAGCAGAGAGAGATGCTCTCCCAGGCTGATTTATGAAGCATAATGGATTAAGGGCTGCCACTGGGAGATGGGATGAACATAAATTCTGGATTTGCCACACATTTGTTTTGTAACCTTGGGAAAGTCGCTTGGCCTTCGGTCTCCCCAACAAATTTGCCCCACAATTAAGTGGCTTGGAGAATTAAGCATGGGTTTATCCTGAGGTACCTATATACTGTACAAGGGCAGGAGGAGGAAAATGAGCTGTCCAGCTCCTGAAACGTTGGAAGAAAGTACATAATTCTGGTAATTAGTAGTGAAGTCCGTAGTTTTTAGGAAACTTAATAGAACCTGCTCTGCCTCCCCTCACACTGCCCTCCCCTACACAGAGGCCATGTGGGGAAAATACCCTTAAGCAAACCTATCTTTGAAACAGGCATAGAATCAATCTGCATTTTATAACATGGTACAAAAGGAGGCACTGTCCCTCCTTCCACCCCTACTCACTATTGGTTGGGTCAGGAGCAAAACAAAACAAAACAAAATCCCTTAATTTAATTACAGAGTTGTCTTTTGATGCACCAGCTAGAAAATAGAATTTGCTATAAGAACAAATTTGTTACAAGGTGGAACAAAGGTAAGAGTTCACTTTCTCGTCATTTTCGATGAGAATTATCAACATGAAGATGTTATTAGAAACCTATGCCAGATTCCTAAGTAGCCATGTGACCAGCAGATGGAATGTTTTTTTATCCCATTTCTGTGTCAAATCAGAACAACTTTTTGTTAGATGAGAACTACAATATATATCTACATATTGTTAAATACCTGAGATATTTACCATCTGGTGGTCACAATCTGTTTTTAGAGGGAGCCCGTGCCTAGTGACAGAATACTTTCTTTACATGAGGACTAAGCACAATCCAAGTAAACTAAAAGCAAAGAACAAACCCAAAAAAATCAGATAGATGCTGCAAAGGGTATTCTGCTTTTACATAAAAGCCTGAAAAAAAATTACTCCCAGCCCTAGAAGAAAACAGATGAAGAAATAATTAGGTTACAATTCTATATACATTCTTAATTAGGAATAAGTCCTCCTTACTGTGATGGTGTAGCTGCTGAGCAAAATGTTCCACCTCTTAAAATAAAAGGTTTCTGATCTTTATGATCAGAATATTCTCTTTCCATCTCTGTCACTTATTCCTTGTCCAAAAGGTGTGGAAAAACATAAATATGTTACTCTCCCAGCTCAGAGGTAGACCTTAAAAAACTCTCTGTAGAGGCATCCTTCATTTTTCATTATTTCTGTGCACATGGGCCACTCTTAGTATCCTCCCCCTCCTACAACAGAAGACCATATGGAGTACAGCTCTTAAGTGGAAACCCCTCCCCCTTTCAAATGGAAAGGTCCGTGATCTATCCATGGGGGAAAAGATGGGGAAGATAACTTCTGTGAGAACTGCTACCCAGTGATATAGTAAAACCTGGGTACATGGTGGTTGGAGTACAACTACCGTAAGACATAGTCTATGCCAGAGGTCTCCAAACTTGGCAATATTAAGACTTGTGGACTTTAACTCCCAGAATTCTGGGAGTTGAAATCCATAAGTCTTAAAGTTGTCAGGTTTGCAGGCCCTGCCTAGTCTATGCAGATACTGTAGATTATGGGAGGCATAATCTAAAGTAATTGGAGGCAACAAATGGCCTAGACCAGCACAACTAGACCCCTAAACTTGTCTGTCTGTTCAAAAGGCCCCTGTAACTGGATAAACTGTCTCAACTGGGTAGTTGTCATCTTTTAGTATGGGTACTCAACTGGATAGATCCGTGGTGGCGCAGTGGTTAGAATGCAGTACTGCAGGGCTAACTCACTGCTCATTCCAGGAGTTCAATTCTGAGCGGCCCAAGGTTGACTCAGCCTTCCATCCTTCTGAGATTGGTAAAATGAGGACCCAGATTGTTGGGGGCAATATGCTGACTCTGTAACTGCTTAGAAAAGCACTATGAAGCGGTACATACAGTATATGTCTAAGTGCTATTGCTATCTAACCACACGCTGCACTGAAGAGGCAGCAGGGTAGATAGGAACCATCTATACCACTGTAGACTAGAGGAGATATAGATGTTCATGTTATAGGTCCAAATTTAAGAAATTTGAATCAGAAATAGATCCTTCACATCTTGTTGGACCTCTTTTCACTGGATGTATTAATTTAAATTATTTTTAAAATATATCTACATAGCATTCAGAAAATTATTTCCCAAGTTACAGACTGAAGCGATACAATTCATAACTGCTTAGCATCTTGTTCCTACCTATTGCAGGTGTAGTTTGGCTCCATTGTATTCCCTATAATTATTTCAGCAACATCCTTCAGACTGGCAACACTGATGCTACAGCTTGACCTCTTTTGCATTAGGAGATGCCTTAACTCCTGGATCAATTAACAAGGACTCTTTTCTTTTTCTTTTTCTTTTTCTTTTGTTCCTTTGAGTTTGTGTTGTTTCCTGGAAATTGTCTGGGCAGGCCCCTTGGCAAGGTTTTTCAGAAGTGGTTTGCTATTGCTTGCTTCATAGGGCTGAGTGAAAGTGACCGGCTCAAGGTCATCCAGTTGGTTTGGGACTCGGAAATCAGGGCTGGTGCCTTAACCACTACACCAAACTATTATTATTATTATTATTATTATTATTATTATTATTATTATTATTATTATTATTATTATTATTATTATTATTATTATACCGCCCCCTCTCCCGAAGGACTCGGGGCGGTGAACAGCCAAAATTAAAAACACACAATACAAACATTAAAATACTATAAAACGAAATTAAATTTATCTTTGGCTTCCCCAATTTAAAACCCCTTACCCATAAAATTCCCCAATTAAAAATTTTTTAACCCAACCCGGATTGCTGAAATAAAAAAGTCTTCAGGGCCCAGCGGAAGATATGGAGGTCCGGGATCAGTCGTATCCCTGAGGGTAGCTCATTCCAGAGAGCGGGTGCCCCCACAGAGAAGGCTCTTCCCTGGGGGGTCGCCAGCTGACATTGCCTGACCGACGGCACCCTGAGGAGGCCCTCTCTGTGGGAGCGTATTGGCCGGTGGGAGGTTATCGGTGGCAGAAGGTGGTCTCATAAATAACCGGGCCCTAAGCCATGGAGCGCTTTGAAGATGAGAACCAATACCTTGAAGCGCAACTAGCTCACTAATGAGTGCTAGGGGGAATTTTAAGACACCCCAAATGGAAATATTTAACATAATTGCAAGCTTTTTTAAAAACAAAACAAAAAGAAGTTTTAACTCCTTGGCATCTACACTGAGTCTTTTGGAGTGGGGTCAGCTATAATAAATCATCATCAATGTCATAATCCCAAATTAAGGAATCTTGGGAGCTGAGATTCTATTGAACTGGACTAAAATTGGGTACCCC